GATGTGCTCACGCCTGCGGGTCTGTGTCAGGAGACGTGCAGCAGAGTTCTGCATAAGCTGCAGGCGGGCAAGGGAAGCCTGGCTAATCCCTACGTACAAGGAGTTGCAGTAATCAAGACGGGTAGTGATAAAAGCATGGATTAATTTTTCCAGGTCAGGTCTTGATAAAATGGGCTTCACCTTCGCTATTTGGCGTAGCTGATAAAAACTTTTTTGTACCACCCCGCTGATCTGCTTGTCAAATTTAAAATCAGGGTCAAATTTAACTCCCAGATTAGTGACGACCTCTTTAAGGTAGGGTGAGAGGGAGCCTAGGTCGAAAACCCTTAAAACAGGCAGAAAAAAGAGAAAACTAAAAAAAAGAAAAGAAGAGTATTTCTGAAAACAAAAAAAACAACAACAACAAAAAAACACCCTAAGAAAACTAAAAAACAAAAAAGAAATATTTCTGATTCTTGGGGTTAAGAAAGCCTGAGAAGTGGAAGAAGTAACTTCCCCGAAGTAAGGAAGTACTTAAAAAAAAAAAAAAACTCTTCAAAAAGAAATCTCCAAAAACAAAAATAAATTAAGACAACTGATGAAAAAACAAAAAAGAAAAAAAAAACATCAACATGGGAAAAAAAAAAAAAACTACTGGAAAGAAAATTAAAAAACAACAAACAAAAGCACCCATAACCCGGTGTTTTTCACACAAAAGATAAAATAAACCTTGCGGTTTTCCGTCCCATGGGAGGGTTTTTATCCCCCTCCTCGAGCTACCACCTTACCGTGGTGGAGGGGTTTGTGTGTCCCAATGAGAGTTAATTCTGATTTACTCTTGCTGTTGTCAAAAAGTGCTAAAATTTCTCTGAATTTCGCATGCTAAGTAGGCCCATGTCAGTTTTAATCCTTGCAGGACTCTTGTTTTCACTTTTCATCAGCAGAGGAAAAGCTTTTGGATAACTGATTAATATAGAGTTCAGGGGAAAGTATATCTGCAATGTATAATCAATAATGACTTTATCTTCATGAGTAAATATGATTTGTACATTTAAAGAGAACTATTTTTTAATTTTGGTTCAACAATGGACAGAAGTACACAGGCAAGATGGCGTCTGTAAAGTTCAGTTTAACAGCTGGTGTGTCATACTAAGTTTTCTTATTTAACCCATCAATACATATCAATTCATAAAGCATCTATTACAAAAACAGCTCAAATCAATGTGGGTTAACAGCAGGTTTGAAAAATACATGATTGTTATAGGGTGTGCTTTTTTTTTTACATTTAAATGTGAAAAATTCAAATGTAAACAAACAACAAGAGAATATTGCATCAAAGGAACAATTCCGTGATGACATCATTATGACATCATCATGGCTTTCATCTCGTGTTACTAACTGGAAGTAGAGCAGCTGTCCAGGGTATCGTTTGAACCTTTCAGCGAGTAGCTACACTTAAAGAAAGAGACAATCGAAATCTTTTAGCAGCGGAACTCTGAGACTACAAACAGTCAAAGACAATGCAGCGACCAACAAACCGACCCAGGATTAACAGGCCCTTCTACTTGAGGGACAGAGAGATGGAGACACTCCGCAGGACTGTGGCTCAGCTCACTGGACAGCTGGAGAGTGAGAAGAACCGAACACTCTTGCTCAGCCAGGAGTTGGAGGTGACTCAACAGAGGCTCACTGGACAGCTGGAGAGAGAGAAGAACCGAACACTCTTGCTCAGCCAGGAGTTGGAGGTGATTCATCAGAAGCTGACCAGGCAAAGGGCTCTCAAGGAAGTGTACATTAACAAAGGGAAGGAGCTCAAAAAGGAGCTGCAGATGCTTCAAAAGTACAGCTCAGAGGAGACCCTCTCCAAACACAGAATTGCTCTTAAGGTGAGGGACACGAGCCGGCAGAAGAAGAAGAAGGATCTTCATGTCGATTACGAGGAGCTGAAGGTGGCACATATTGTGGAAAATGAGAGGCTCACAACACAAGTCCAGGAACTGACTGAAAGAAACACGGTCCTCCATGAAGAACAGGAGAAGACAAGAACCTCATACCAAGCACTGAAATTCCAGTATGCAACTGATCTCACTGCTGCGAAACAGGAAGTTGAGACCCTTCAGCGTGAGCTGCAAAATCAGGCTCACCATGATGGACTCTTACAGGAACAGACCATCCAGATCCTGAGAGCCGAACAGGACTCCATGACGGAGAAGATTGCTGTTCTGCAGCAGGCAGCTTTTGAAACAGAGAGGAGGCACTGGGCTGAGCTGGAGGAGCTGAAACAACAGCTCTACATCCAGACAGCCGGTATGATGGACAACAAGGAGCTTAAAGTGGCCCAAGAAACCAGCTTTAACAATGAAAAAAACAAAAAAACAAATGAACTCTCAACTGAGCTTCAACTTCGAGAGACAGGCATCAGGCAAAGTGAGATGACGCTTCAGGAGCAGGACTTCATGGACATGGACATCGAGCAGTTTTGCATGGAGTTGGAGAAAACTGCAGAAACTTCTGGAGCTGAAGAACTGGCAGGAGCTTTAGAAATCGAAGTGACTGCTGGATCTCCAGAACTAGTTGGAACAGCAGGACCAGCAGAGACACCAACCTCTAATGCCACCAAACCACCTTCTTCAGTCTGGAAACAAACAAGACACTTCTTGGGGTTAAGAAAGCCTGAGAAGTGGAAGAAGTAACTTCCTCGAAGTAAGGAAGTACTTTAAAAAAAAAAAAACTCTTCAAAAAGAGATCTCAAAAAAAAATAAAGAAAGAAAGAAAACCAAAAAAAAAAAAATCAATCAATCAATCAACTTTATTTCTATAGCACATTTAAAACAACCACAAGGGTAGCCAAAGTGCTGTACAGTGACACATAAAAACAAATAAAACAATCAAAGAACAAGATAAAGCAAGCAGAAATACAGTAATGCAAAAGAATAAATAAGTGTATAAATAAGGAGGCTCACGGCAAGTGCTAAGATGATAAAAAACAAATTAACACTACAATGTACTAAAAGCCAATGAGTAAAAGTACGTTTTTAAAAGGGATTTAAAAACAGAAAATGAGGAGGCCTGTCTAATTTTCAAGGGCAACTCATTCCAGAGCTTAGGGGCAGCAGCGGCAAATGCTCTGTCCCCTCTGAGCTTCAGCCTTGTACTGGGGACGGTCAGTAAAAGCTGATCAGCTGATCTTAGGGGTCGGGGTGGGCAATAAGGCTGTAGCATCTCCGAAATATAGGGTGGAGCAAGGTTGTTCAGGCCCTTAAAAACAAATGCTAAAAGCTTAAAATGAATTCTGTACTGAACAGGGAGCCAGTGTAAGGACGCCAGGATGGGGGTGATGTGCTCACGCCTGCGGGTCTGTGTCAGGAGACGTGCAGCAGAGTTCTGCATAAGCTGCAGGCGGGCAAGGGAAGCCTGGCTAATCCCTACGTACAAGGAGTTGCAGTAATCAAGACGGGTAGTGATAAAAGCATGGATTAATTTTTCCAGGTCAGGTCTTGATAAAATGGGCTTCACCTTCGCTATTTGGCGTAGCTGATAAAAACTTTTTTGTACCACCCCGCTGATCTGCTTGTCAAATTTAAAATCAGGGTCAAATTTAACTCCCAGATTAGTGACGACCTCTTTAAGGTAGGGTGAGAGGGAGCCTAGGTCGAAAACCCTTAAAACAGGCAGAAAAAAGAGAAAACTAAAAAAAAGAAAAAGAAGAGTATTTCTGAAAAAAAAAAAAAAACAACAACAAAAAAACACCCTAAGAAAACTAAAAAACAAAAAAGAAATGTTTCTGATTCTTGGGATTAAGAAAGCCTGAGAAGTGGAAGAAGTAAGTAAGGAAGTACTTAAAAAAAAAAAAAAAACTCTTCAAAAAGAAATCTCCAAAAACAAAAATAAATTAAGACAACTGATGAAAAAACAAAAAAGAAAAAAAAAACATCAACATGGGAAAAAAAAAAAAATTCTAAAAAAAAAAAAAAAAAAAACTACTGGAAAGAAAATTAAAAAACAACAAACAAAAGCACCCATAACCCGGTGTTTTTCACACAAAAGATAAAATAAACCTTGCGGTTTTCCGTCCCATGGGAGGGTTTTTATCCCCCTCCTCGAGCTACCACCTTACCGTGGTGGAGGGGTTTGTGTGTCCCAATGAGAGTTAATTCTGATTTACTCTTGCTGTTGTCAAAAAGTGCTAAAATTTCTCTGAATTTCGCATGTTAAGTAGGCCCATGTCAGTTTTAATCCTTGCAGGACTCTTGTTTTCACTTTTCATCAGCAGAGGAAAAGCTTTTGGATAACTGATTAATATAGAGTTCAGGGGAAAGTATATCTGCAATGTATAATCAATAATGACTTTATCTTCATGAGTAAATATGATTTGTACATTTAAAGAGAACTATTTTTTAATTTTGGTTCAACAATGGACAGAAGTACACAGGCAAGATGGCGTCTGTAAAGTTCAGTTTAACAGCTGGTGTGTCATACTAAGTTTTCTTATTTAACCCATCAATACATATCAATTCATAAAGCATCTATTACAAAAACAGCTCAAATCAATGTGGGTTAACAGCAGGTTTGAAAAATACATGATTGTTATAGGGTGTGCTTTTTTTTTACATTTAAATGTGAAAAATTCAAATGTAAACAAACAACAAGAGAATATGGCATCAAAGGAACAATTCCGTGATGACATCATTATGACATCATCATGGCTTTCATCTCGTGTTACTAAGTGGAAGTAGAGCAGCTGTCCAGGGTATCGTTTGAACCTTTCAGCGAGTAGCTACACTTAATGTAAAGATTATTAAATTTAGACACAACCAAGGCTATTTCTGCTGCTGTTCAGGTGCCTCTACTATACTAATAATCATTAGTATTAAATTATTTAAAATTATTTAAAAATACGACTCTGCAGTGGCTGTCATGGCAACTGAATCAACTGTTTAGTTTTAAAAAACTGAAGTTGGATATTTCAAAGTGAAACATAGACCTACTGGTAAAAACGTGGAAGAAAGCGAAAAGCAAAGATGGAAAACATGTCAGAGGAAACCCACGGCGAAATGACGGATCCACAGCACGTCCACCTAAGGTAAGGAGAAAAAAAACGGTTCAAGGGGTCCCTGTGTGAAGGTGTTTCTATAAAACCGCGCCTCAACCTTTTTCTTTCTGCTCCTTTTCATTCACATGAAAATTTTTCCTTGTTTGTATTGAATGTGTCATATACTAACAGACTGAAATAAAGTATGTACACAGCGCCCTAACTTTATTGAAATGAAGTCATGTGTTTGGAGGTTAAGGCTCTGTTTGTGTAGATACCAACAGTTTGGGTCGGGTCAGAACTGCTGACATTCATACAGCTCATTCAGACGACTCAGAGAATGAGAGTATTTGGAATTTTCCAATATTTATCATGTCTCAGATTTGTGCACATCAGTTTGTGAATGACAGATATTGTACAGAAAGACTTAGCTTTCAGACCCTTTACAACAAGATCTTCAGTGCTTCTCATCTTTTTCTTTTAGCTTCCCATCTGAAAGCTCTGTGGAGGAAATGGCTCAAGACAGACCAGATCAAGATGAGACAGAGAAAACGGAGATTGATAACAGCATCATACAGAGACTTCAAGACAGACCAGATCAAGATGAGACAGAGAAAAAGGAGATTGATAACCGAATCATACAGAGACTTCAATCTGGCTGGATAGGCACTCTTCATGTCGTTTTCCTGGTGCTGCTTTTAGTCCTAATCACTGTCATTGTTGGCCTGAGCATCAATGTTAAGCAGTTACAGAAAGAAAGGAGTCAGCTGAGACAGCTTCTAGAATCAACACACATGGGACTGAACCACACCATGGAAGTAAATCAAAAAGTGAGCCAGAGTCTGAACTTCACCGTGGAAGAAAATCAAAAACTGAGGCTGAGTCTGAACTACACCATGGAAGAGAATCTGAACCTGAGCCTGAGTCTGAACAACACCATGGAAGAAAATCAGAAATTGAGCAGAAGACTAAACTACACCATGGAAGATAATCAGAAATTGAGCCTGAGTCTGAACTACACCATGGAAGATAATCTGAAACTGAGCCGAAGACTCAACCACACCAAGGAAGAAAATCAAAAACTGAGCCTGAGTCTGAGCTACTCCATGGAAGAAAATCAGAGACTGAGCCGAAGACTAAACCACACCATGGAAGTAAATCAAAAAGTGAGCCAGAGTCTGAACTTCACCGTGGAAGAAAATCAAAAACTGAGGCTGAGTCTGAACTACACCATGGAGGAGAATCTGAACCTGAGCCAGAGTCTGAACAACACCATGGAAGAAAATCAGAAATTGAGCAGAAGACTAAACTACACCATGGAAGAGAATCTGAATCTGAGCCAAAGATTAAACCACACCAAGGAAGAAAATCAAAAACTGAGGCTGAGTCTGAACTACACCATGGAGGAGAATCTGAACCTGAGCCAGAGTCTGAACAACACCATGGAAGAAAATCAAAAACTGAGGCTGAGTCTGAGCTACTCCATGGAAGAAAATCAGAGACTGAGCCGAAGACTTAACCACACCATGGCAGAAAAGTCACAGCTTCAAGTGCAGATTGAGGAGATGAAAATCATATTGAATTCTACTATGGAAAACCGTGACTCTTTCAGAAAAGACAAAATCAAATATCAACAGCTTTTGATCAATGAAAGGCAGACCTCAACTCAACTAAAAGCTGAAAATCAACGTCAACAATCAATTCTGATGTCGGAGAAACTATCTTTCCTCTGGAGATTCTGTGATAAAGGCACCCTGCAATGTTCACGCTGCCTTCCTGGTTGGGCTGAGCACGCCACACGCTGCTTCCATTTGGCATCACAACCAATGAAGTGGGAAGATGCTCGTAGGGAGTGTTTTAATGAAGGTGCTGACCTGGCTGTTGTCTTGAATGCTGCAGACCAGGCATTTCTGACCAACATGACTTTCCAGTTTACACAGCAGCATCCAAATGTACTGTTCCATTCAGCATGGATCGGGTTGCAGGACATGGTGCAGGATAACAGATTTGTGTGGGTAAATGGTATCAAGTCCAAGTCAGATTTGAAGTTCTGGATGCCTGGAGAGCCAAACAATGCTGCGGCTCAATGGGACAAAGACCGTGCAGGACAGGACTGTGTTGTCATTGTCCCTCCAAAGACTGTTGGACAGAAAGGCTGGCTGAACTCCTGGGATGATGTTGTCTGTCGAGGCCAGCGGCACTACATTTGTGAAACCAAAGCTCTTATTTTGTCTGGAGTAAAAACTGAGGAATGATGAGTTTATAACAATTTAGAATAAGTATGAATTAATGTGAAATAAATGTTCTTTATTTTGATAATGATATGGTATTATTATTTGGATTTTAATGTGGCCTATATAATAGACTGTTTTTTGTTCTTTTTTTAGTCAGATCTATCTATCTATCTATCTATCTATCTATCTATCTATCTATCTATCTATCTATCTATCTATCACAGAATGGAGATGACATGGATTAAGGTGAAGTCAGTTGCAAGTTCAACATTTGTTAAAAAAAAAAAAAGAACAATATGACTGGAATGAGCGTTTAATCAAATAAATGTGAACAGAAACATTTTTAGGGCAGAAAAACATTATCACGAGACTTTTGGATTTCTGTCCTGCAGTTATGGAAGAATATGAGGTAACACCGGGAAATAAACCTCCGTCGTTAACATGAGAAAGAAACTTCTTCACTGACCGCCGGGAAGTGAAATTTCGGCGAAGGGTCAGTTGTGCCGTTCCCTTCCTGGAACTTCAGCCAGTCCAGCAGCCGTTCAGCTCCGACCACACCCTCCCTGCTTCCTCATACTGCAGCGGGAGCGCGCAGCACGACTTTGAATCCCCGGGAATAACGGCCCTTTCCTCGGCTACCTTTGGGATTTCATGTTCGGGGAACTAGACGAAACATGTGAGTTGACTGTCCAAAGACTTTTGAGCGGTTATGGCGCTGAAAAGCAAGTGTCAGCAGGGGCTATGCGGGGCTTCACATTCTCTGGTCCCGTGTCAAGACGCCTAGAGGAAGAGGAGGAGGAGGAGGAGGAGGGCGGACAGAAGGACGATGCATATGGAGTCCAAGCGACTGCAGCATTCGCTAGCTTCTAACCCGGGGCTGTGTTTGAAAAAGAAGAGGTTAAAAGTGGATGGAGGAGTTTGTGCTGTTGGAAAGTCGGGCTCCCGGTCTTTAACTCTGGGGGACTCATGAAACGATGGTGCTGAAGGGAAACACGAGTCTTCCCGCTGTCCAGGAGAACTGCCCGGGTGGTGCCCCGTTTGTACCCAGCATGAGAATACCAGGCCGGTCAAAGTCATTGGAAGCAAGTCGGACAAGACGTCGGTGCTTTTTCAGGCTGCTTACCCTGTCAAGAGTGGACCTAAAATGACATCCTATTTATTAATGTAAAGAAAAAAAAGAGCGAAGAATCGATCAAGCTAATGTTGAGGGATGTTTTTCTCTGCTAAAAAAGACCCAAAGAAAAGACATCTAGTGTTAAATAGCAGGAAAGGATCAGCAGATGTCATAAATCAGGAATGTGATCTCCTTTATGAAAAGAAATGCAGCTTTTGACTTTGAACAGCTCTCAGTCTGCACTTTGCCTGTTTGGAGGCACCCTGGCACTGCATTTGGTGTGATTTCTTCTTAAAGTTCACAGCCTGTGAAGTTTTTTTCTGTTTGACCAAAACTGGGACTGGGATTAGATTAACCACATCTGTATTTTGCTGGCATTTATGTTCATCTAAAGAGATAAGAGCATTTTATACTGATAATTTTAAGGCAATCCACCAGAAATATGCCTGACAGAAGTTCAGTCTCTTATTGTAAGAAAATATTCTGGATGTTATTGACTCAAAGTAATGCAGTTAGCGAGTTTGACTCTTTCTACGTGTTTACATGAAGAGTATATATATTCTGTGTGTACAGCTGATGACCCATACTCTGAAGGAATTTAAGGAAGACTGTTTGGCCAGTTGACTTTCTCAAAGTTTGTGAAAAGCAGTTCAGGCTTAGCTTGGAAACAGTACCATGTAATGTGCAGCACCCTAAAAAGCATAAATAAGTGAACTGAGTAACCCTCCCACCCTCACCCACCCCCTCCTTATTATGGCTAGTGGTGGCTCTGGCATGGCTCTGCCCCTAAGCTCATTCCAGAGCTTAGGGGCAGCAGCGGCAAATGCTCTGTCCCCTCTGAGCTTCAGCCTTGTACTGGGGACGGTCAGTAAAAGCTGATCAGCTGATCTTAGGGGTCGGGGTGGGCAATAAGGCTGTAGCATCTCCGAAATATAGGGTGGAGCAAGGTTGTTCAGGCCCTTAAAAACAAATGCTAAAAGCTTAAAATGAATTCTGTACTGAACAGGGAGCCAGTGTAAGGACGCCAGGATGGGGGTGATGTGCTCACGCCTGCGGGTCTGTGTCAGGAGACGTGCAGCAGAGTTCTGCATAAGCTGCAGGCGGGCAAGGGAAGCCTGGCTAATCCCTACGTACAAGGAGTTGCAGTAATCAAGACGGGTAGTGATAAAAGCATGGATTAATTTTTCCAGGTCAGGTCTTGATAAAATGGGCTTCACCTTCGCTATTTGGCGTAGCTGATAAAAACTTTTTTGTACCACCCCGCTGATCTGCTTGTCAAATTTAAAATCAGGGTCAAATTTAACTCCCAGATTAGTGACGACCTCTTTAAGGTAGGGTGAGAGGGAGCCTAGGTCGAAAACCCTTAAAACAGGCAGAAAAAAGAGAAAACTAAAAAAAAGAAAAAGAAGAGTATTTCTGAAAAAAAAAAAACAACAACAACAAAAAAACACCCTAAGAAAACTAAAAAACAAAAAAGAAATATTTCTGATTCTTGGGGTTAAGAAAGCCTGAGAAGTGGAAGAAGTAACTTCCCCGAAGTAAGGAAGTACTTAAAAAAAAAAAAAAACTCTTCAAAAAGAAATCTCCAAAAACAAAAATAAATTAAGACAACTGATGAAAAAACAAAAAAGAAAAAAAAAACATCAACATGGGAAAAAAAAAAAAAACTACTGGAAAGAAAATTAAAAAACAACAAACAAAAGCACCCATAACCCGGTGTTTTTCACACAAAAGATAAAATAAACCTTGCGGTTTTCCGTCCCATGGGAGGGTTTTTATCCCCCTCCTCGAGCTACCACCTTACCGTGGTGGAGGGGTTTGTGTGTCCCAATGAGAGTTAATTCTGATTTACTCTTGCTGTTGTCAAAAAGTGCTAAAATTTCTCTGAATTTCGCATGCTAAGTAGGCCCATGTCAGTTTTAATCCTTGCAGGACTCTTGTTTTCACTTTTCATCAGCAGAGGAAAAGCTTTTGGATAACTGATTAATATAGAGTTCAGGGGAAAGTATATCTGCAATGTATAATCAATAATGACTTTATCTTCATGAGTAAATATGATTTGTACATTTAAAGAGAACTATTTTTTAATTTTGGTTCAACAATGGACAGAAGTACACAGGCAAGATGGCGTCTGTAAAGTTCAGTTTAACAGCTGGTGTGTCATACTAAGTTTTCTTATTTAACCCATCAATACATATCAATTCATAAAGCATCTATTACAAAAACAGCTCAAATCAATGTGGGTTAACAGCAGGTTTGAAAAATACATGATTGTTATAGGGTGTGCTTTTTTTTTTACATTTAAATGTGAAAAATTCAAATGTAAACAAACAACAAGAGAATATTGCATCAAAGGAACAATTCCGTGATGACATCATTATGACATCATCATGGCTTTCATCTCGTGTTACTAACTGGAAGTAGAGCAGCTGTCCAGGGTATCGTTTGAACCTTTCAGCGAGTAGCTACACTTAAAGAAAGAGACAATCGAAATCTTTTAGCAGCGGAACTCTGAGACTACAAACAGTCAAAGACAATGCAGCGACCAACAAACCGACCCAGGATTAACAGGCCCTTCTACTTGAGGGACAGAGAGATGGAGACACTCCGCAGGACTGTGGCTCAGCTCACTGGACAGCTGGAGAGTGAGAAGAACCGAACACTCTTGCTCAGCCAGGAGTTGGAGGTGACTCAACAGAGGCTCACTGGACAGCTGGAGAGAGAGAAGAACCGAACACTCTTGCTCAGCCAGGAGTTGGAGGTGATTCATCAGAAGCTGACCAGGCAAAGGGCTCTCAAGGAAGTGTACATTAACAAAGGGAAGGAGCTCAAAAAGGAGCTGCAGATGCTTCAAAAGTACAGCTCAGAGGAGACCCTCTCCAAACACAGAATTGCTCTTAAGGTGAGGGACACGAGCCGGCAGAAGAAGAAGAAGGATCTTCATGTCGATTACGAGGAGCTGAAGGTGGCACATATTGTGGAAAATGAGAGGCTCACAACACAAGTCCAGGAACTGACTGAAAGAAACACGGTCCTCCATGAAGAACAGGAGAAGACAAGAACCTCATACCAAGCACTGAAATTCCAGTATGCAACTGATCTCACTGCTGCGAAACAGGAAGTTGAGACCCTTCAGCGTGAGCTGCAAAATCAGGCTCACCATGATGGACTCTTACAGGAACAGACCATCCAGATCCTGAGAGCCGAACAGGACTCCATGACGGAGAAGATTGCTGTTCTGCAGCAGGCAGCTTTTGAAACAGAGAGGAGGCACTGGGCTGAGCTGGAGGAGCTGAAACAACAGCTCTACATCCAGACAGCCGGTATGATGGACAACAAGGAGCTTAAAGTGGCCCAAGAAACCAGCTTTAACAATGAAAAAAACAAAAAAACAAATGAACTCTCAACTGAGCTTCAACTTCGAGAGACAGGCATCAGGCAAAGTGAGATGACGCTTCAGGAGCAGGACTTCATGGACATGGACATCGAGCAGTTTTGCATGGAGTTGGAGAAAACTGCAGAAACTTCTGGAGCTGAAGAACTGGCAGGAGCTTTAGAAATCGAAGTGACTGCTGGATCTCCAGAACTAGTTGGAACAGCAGGACCAGCAGAGACACCAACCTCTAATGCCACCAAACCACCTTCTTCAGTCTGGAAACAAACAAGACACTTCTTGGGGTTAAGAAAGCCTGAGAAGTGGAAGAAGTAACTTCCTCGAAGTAAGGAAGTACTTTAAAAAAAAAAAAAACTCTTCAAAAAGAGATCTCAAAAAAAAATAAAGAAAGAAAGAAAACCAAAAAAAAAAAAATCAATCAATCAATCAACTTTATTTCTATAGCACATTTAAAACAACCACAAGGGTAGCCAAAGTGCTGTACAGTGACACATAAAAACAAATAAAACAATC